TAATAATTTATTGTCTACTGATTAGCTTGTGACGTATTCGAACCATGAAAAACAAATAAGATAAACTTAAAACAATCACTCTAATTTAGTCTCTTTGCATGTACAATACGTTTAAATCAATCCAAAGGGTTCTCCATTTCTCCTCTTTTTGATTTTCACTTTTGTGCAAGTAGTATTGCGACTTCACGATTGTGAGTGGAAATACTACCGTACTGTTTAATTTATGATAAAACATGACTAGGAAGATAGGAAGCACACACCGCATTAGTTAACATTTTTATTTCACAAACATAAAGGTGATTTACTTAATTTATTATTATTGTTATGACGTCATGGCGAGATTGCGTTAACGTAACATCGGAGTTCGGGTCTTAATAATATACATAAGGAATAAATCGTTTATAGTAGAAATTGTCTATTTTTGGGTTTGTAAAAATGTTGGCCTAACAACGTACAGTACATTGTTTTCACAATAAATTAATCCTCTGATAACCGTTGCACCCATAAAATCGATGGAGTGGTTACTGAGATGGTTACAAAATGTACAAACAAGTTCGTTTTTGCTTGGTTTTGGTCCGGAAGTGAACAGACAAAATTCATGGCAGTCATTCGTAATTGTTGTACTTTTCACTCTAGAAGATCGGTGAAAAGTAGCGGGGAATTAATATGATGTCCCCCCCTACTTTGAAAAGTAGGAGGGAAGTGTCCCCCACCGATCGACGCCCATGCGTAAAATGAATAGTGGCTTGTTCACATAGTTTAATAATTCGTTTTGTACTTCTATTAATCAAATAAAATAAAATTAATAGATAAAATGTCCAATAAGTATGTTTATAATTAATATATAATTTTTAATTAAGATAATAATATGCATACCTTAAGAAAATAAATATATCAATAATAATCTACAATAATACACACGTGTGGTCCCCCATAAATTTGCTGACAAGGGGCTAACTTGTTCGACTGAACGTCCGAATAAATACGTCTAGAGCCTTTGTCAGGATCCCGGTATAGAATTCTCTGGCAGGGTTGAAAGTTTTTTAAGGAATTTGTGGTTTTAGCCACAATATTAAGGATTGGCAATCAAAATAACGTTATAGATAGGCGAATTATTATATTTGGGCCACGGCCGACGACCCAGTCGTTGCGTCGAGGGCGTGGGAGGGTCCAGGCTTACCCGACGTAGGGGATGTCTCCCTTACCCCCGCTCACGCCAGGCTTTAATATTAATAAAGGCTTGAAAGTCTGTGTTATATTATTTACTGTTATTATTATATTTGCTGTTATTAGACCCTATTTTATTTAATTATTATTATTATTATTATTATCCTTTCTTTAGGCACACAACACATGTGCCAAGGATTGCCAATAGCGAATATATATCACTGTCCTACTAGTAAGGAATGTCATTATTTTAAATAAATTATTTAAATTCTATTGATTAGTAAATTGTATAAATATTTTTTATGACATATAAAATTATTATTATTATTATTATTATTATTATTATTATTATTATTATTATTATTATTATTATTATTTCGGTTGCTGTTTCTGGGTTTTTCCTATGCCTTTAAATAAATTTATATACAAATATCTCATTCGAGATCCAGCAAGCTGAAAATAATGCATAGAAAAAGGGTGTAGATCTCTGAAAGTCACGTGCGACATTAGTGCTATATCAAAAGCGTAACGTAAGTCACGTTGAAAAAATGAAAGAAACTCAACTTCTACCTGGCGCATGAATCACCACAATGCCTTTGGGGTCAAGTGGTTGACGTTCTCGATGGGAAATGTCCCGTGTTGAATCCCGGTAAAGAGTTGTTATTATGAATGAACTACTTTCTTGGTGTAAATAGCAAACTCGATTAGTAGGCCTGTTGAAAATATTTGGAAAATCATAGAAACACAAGTCAAGGCATCTGATCATGCAAACAGGCAATCGTAAAAGTACAATATGTAATATGATATGTTTATAAACAATATATTATAATAATGTAGGACTCTAAGGCTTATACTAGTTCAGTGTGATTATTATAGTGATTGAAATGTCATTAATATAAAGTGACTGTATACATAATATCATGAACTACCAAACAATCGTGTAACTGATTTGAAAAGAAAATCTGGAAAAATAATACTACAACTCTATTGGTCCAACATAATGAATGCATTATCTTTCTAGTACGTAACAAACAAGTACTAAACACACCTTCTCTAATTGGTCTAATATGGTGAATACATTATTTTTCTACTACGTGACAACAAACAACATTTAGGCTACGTGTCACGACACCACCTGAGCTGATGACCTTTCAGTATTCAAGCCGCATAAGTACTGTTTGGTCAGTAGTTGTTTTTAGTTAGCACTGATGATGCCTGTAGGAAATAGGAGAAACATGTTTGCCAATAAATCGTTTATTTTCGTGTTTTGTGTTCATCTTGATTTATATATATAAGATGTGTATAAGAGACAGCCCCCAGTGATTACGCCATCGGGCAGCATAGATCAAAGGAGTTATGACAGTTTTTGAAGTGGAGAAGGGATTGCAGGATCTTGTGAGT